CTAGAACTGTAATTTTCTAGGTGGAATGTCAAGACTTTTCTGAGAAGTCTGAATTCTGAGGCCTCAAGGTCATTATGAAGTTGTAGGTGCCAAGAAAGGAAGACAGACATGTTTCTATTTAAATGTTTGCTAGCTTTATTTATCAATTATAAATATTGGACATATGACACATTGGTCTCCATTTGCTTTTTTGCCCCAGGACCTACAAATACTAGAGGTAGAATTGTCCTAGTGCCTCAGATTTACACACAATAATTTAAAGGATTCGTGATAAGAATTAAAAATTTCCCTTTATTTCAGTCAGTTATTGGGACAGTCTTGGGAAGAGATGGACCCCACTGACATTGGCTAGGAATGGATAAGGAAGCTTTGGGCTTCCGCCCAATATCCAACAAAAAGCCAGAATCCATGTGCATCTGAGTGAGCCTAGCCCTGTCCCTTTAACTGAAAAGCCTCTGCCCCAGAGCTCTCCTTCCAGCCCAACATCCAGTAAAAAGCCAGAATTCATGTGCATCTGAGGTAGGCCTAGTCCTGTTCCTTTAACTGGAAAGCCTCTGCTTCAGACCTCTCCTTCTGGCACAACACCCAGAGAAAAGCAGGTAGGATAGTCTTTGTTTTCTTTCTTCTCTGTCTCTTTCTCTCCCACTTCCTTTCTCTTGAAATTTTCTCTTTTGTATATATGTTTTTAAAAATCTGCAAGTGCTGTCTCTTGTCTCTGACCTTTCCTTTCTCTTGCTAATTTCAGAATCCATGTGCATCTGAGGTTGATCTAGCTCTGTCCCTTTCTCATTGTTTTGCCTTTTTTAAAAAAACTTTTTCCCCTTTCCATTGCTTTGCTTTGTCTTTTTTTTTTTTTTTAGCTTTTCTTTTTCCTCTTTGTTTCCCTTCTTTTACCTGATTTTCTCACCTTGCTTTTCACCTTCCACACACTGAGTGTCTAGGAAGTTCTAGTGCACAGTAGGGAAATATCTGAATACTTTTAGGATCATAGAAAACCTCAGCCCCCACTGATCTGCTACAGGAAGGGAAAAACTCAACCTTATAAATCTAAATTTAAATTCCTTTCTGTGGATACCACATTGCAAAACACAGCAGTAGAGAAGTAGGCATAGAAGTACCTCACAGTAAAGTGAAGCTTAGGAGCTTACAGTCACAGAAGTCACCAACAAATTAGCCAAACGTGAATATACCACCAAATGACTAAAAATCAGAAAAGAGAGTCTGTGAAGTGAACGGCTGGGAGGAATACAGAACTGCATGGCTCATCTCCTCCCACACACCTCTGAATTCTTAGTTCAACCTCGCAGCTCAGCCCAGGTACACCTATTCCCTTGAAACTGTGAGGCCTTCCTAATATCAAGTTCTATTGAGAAAAGTGCAGGTTGCTTGATGAGGATCAGAAAAACGGAACTGAAGAAATATCTCAGGTCATCTCCTTTTGCACACCTCTAACACTCAGAGTTAACTATGAAAATGTAGGGAGTAACATATAATTCACCAGATGACCAGAAACCACAGAAGAGACACAAAAAAATATGAGAAATATCTCTCTCCCGAGGGGGAAGAACAGTTTTTTATCTTCCATAGATGGTACAATGGGATTCATGGAAATGTCAGATAAAGAATTTAGGTTTTTCATAGTGACAAAGAAAATAGAGATGCAAGAGAACAGTGACGAGTTCCAGAAAATGCAAGAGAAAAGAGACAATGAGTTCCAGGAGGTGAGGAAGTTCTTCCATGATATGAAAGAGGAAATATATAAAAAAGAATCAAATGGAACTGTTAGAGATGAAGGCTGTAATACATGAAATCAAAGCATCCCTTGAAAGTATTAAAATCAGATTAGATCATGCAGAAGATCGAATCTCAGATGTAGAAGACAGAACCTCTGGCCTAGAAAAATTTACCAAAAAGACTGAGAAAATAATAATAATAAAAAGGAGAGAATAATATACAAGTAATACTAGATATCACTAGACATGCAAACATCCAGATTATCAGTATCCCAGAAGGTGATAATCAGGGCACTGATAATTTATTCCATGAAATCCTGGAAGAAAACTTTTCAAATCTAAAGAGGCATTCAAATATCCAGACCCAAGAAATACAAAGACCCCACATAGAATTGACCCAAGAAGATCTTCCTCGAGGCACATCACAGACCAGATTGACCAAAACCACCAACAGAAACAAGATACTAAAATTGGCAAGAGAGAAATGTCAAGTTACTTTCAAAGGATATCCCATCAGGCTAACATCGGACCTCTTATTGGAAACAATGCAAGCAAAGAAAGAATGGGAGAATATATTCAAAGTGTTAAGTGAAAAACAATTTCAGCCAAGAATACTGTATCCAACAAGATTATAGTATTCATTTGGAGAGAAAAGTTAAAAACATTCTCAGCTAAATAAAACCTGAAAGAATTTACTAACACTAGACCAGCTCTTCAAGAAGTTCTGAAGGGAGTACTATACCAGAAAAACTAACGATAGGTAGATAAATAAGAGAACAAAAAATCATCAAGAAAAAGGCCAACTTAATGGTAGGGACAAGTTCTGAAATATCAATAATAATGTTGAATGTTAATGGAAAGGTCAGACCACAGTAACACTGCAAATTCAACAAAAGAAAGATACATGAGACTGAACTGGTGAAAAAGAATTCTATGACTTTTTTTTTCTAAAACATTACTGATTTTCTTCTATGTTTTATCTTCCAGATCTAAGGATTTTTGTTTTCTTTTGTGTTGTTGATAGGTTCAGTAATTTGTTAAAAAAAGATTTTTTTAAAAAAAATTGAAACATAAGCTTTTCTCTTTTCCTGACCTATTTGCAATTAGAAAATATTTATGAGTATTCTTATTTTGTGGCAGAATGGTTATTTGAGTAAATTCAATAAGACAATAGTATCTGCTGCCTTGCATCAGAAATTGAATTCATATGGGGCTTTATGCAAATAACAGACCAAATTGAGATTTCTTTTTTGCAGATAAGTTAGTTTATACCTCTCTTTAGTAAAAAGGAGAATGGAGAGAGAAAAAAAAATGTTTCAGAAGAAAATTACAGTGCACTTGTCACTAGATCCTAGCTTTATCCACACTTTAAGATCTTTCGTGAATCAATAAAATGTGACAAAAAAGTTTAGTATGGAAAGGAGGGGAAGGGGGAAAAGGGAAGGAAAAAACAGGTAGAAGTATGTTTAACTGACAAAAAATGAGAAGCTATTTGCTGATGATAATGTATATAGTAATATCTTTGTCTTGACTGACATGCATGGTATTTGTGTTGGAAAAAGAAATGTATACTGTAAAGACATGATTAAATGTAAATTAAGTTTAAAAATTCAACTAAAAAAAGAAACTTTGAAAGCAGATATACCGAAATAGACAGAAAACTTGTAGAATTTCTTTCACAGGTGGAAAGTTAAAAAAAAATAGATGGCAAATTTTTCAGGAAAAAGAAGAAGAAACTAAGAAGGTTCTTAAATAAATGCTTAGAAATTATTGATCAGAACTAATCACATGCCACATGTGGCTTATGGCAGATTTGGGATATACAAGTTTATGTGCTAATCTATAGTGTGTCTTACTATGAAAAAGAGGGAGAATGATTATTGGGAAGTAATAAGGTGTCTCTCTCCCAGAGATTTATGGAAATGTTTAACATAGTGCCCATTTTGGAACAAGTGGCTAAACCTATTAGTTTCATCATATCAGCAATAAAAAAGAACAATTAGAAACTTTTTGTTATCTTTTCCTTACATGTATCAATAGGAAAATATCTAAACTCATAAGCAACCCAACTTTAGCTGCTAGCTTTCAAGATTGACTAAAAGAACAGATGTGGAATTAGAAGGCCTAGATTCAAGTCTCTGAGGCAAAGTATGAAAGTACGTAGTCTGAATGGGGTTCAGTTTCCTTATTTATAGGATGGAAATACCTACTTCATGGTGGTAACTGTAAGCATTAAATGAAAAAGGCTCTAAGTTAAGCCCTATAACCACAGTTTCTGCCACAATCTAAGTACTCAGTATTTTTTTCATCCACCTCTTCACTCATTTATTTATTCAGCAAATATTAATTGATCTTCTACTGTGTGTTAAGCACTCTGAGAGCTATTGGGGACAGAATGATGAATAAGATATTTTCTGACATTGAGGAGCTATGTTATAGTTTATTATAACATAAATATAATTAATTATAGTTGTAATAAATAGTATGAAAGAAGAGTATACAAAAAGAATATATACCAGAAGAAAGATGAATTATGGATCAGGATTATGGTGCTTATGGAGAAAAACGAGCAAATGTATGGGTTTGTGAAATATTTAGAATGTAGAATTAGTGGGAATAGGGAGGGAGAAAACAGAACAAGAATATGTCTACATTCCTGCCTCAAGTGATGGATAGATAGTGATGCCATTTGCTAATAACAGGGAAGACAGAGGCATGGACATAGGAGAAAGCAGATGGAAGGGTGGAAGGATGGATGATGGATGAATGGTTGGATGATGAATGGACAATGGGATGAATGAGGGCTGCTTCACTGGACAAATTAGCAAATAGAAAAATGAGTAGATGGATAGGTCAGTAAAGTTCTTGATGGGGTATGTAGGGTATAGCTCAATAAAATAATACCATGCTATTTATTTATGTAGTATACTTTAGCTCATTTAATCCTTAAAATAGTCATTAGAAATATGTAGCACAGGTGTTATTAAGAATATCTTTCTTTCATAGAGAATAAAACTGAGACATTGGGAGGGAGGGTGTCAGTCCACTTGACAGAACCAGAATCTGAATCTCCACCCATCTTCCTATTCACACTCTTTTCCCTCTACTGCACATTGCCTGTAAATAATGAGAAAACCAGCAATTAAGGAGGGAAGAGAGAGTGTGTGTCTTGGTATGCACCTCTAGGTATAAGGTCTTTGGAATAAGGGAAGAAAGAGTAAAGTAATCTGCTTACTTATTCAGTGGATTTCTTCCTCTCCTTTCTAGGTCAAAGTATTTCCATGGAAAGAAGGTGAACGGAGATATTGAGATCCGAGTGGAACAGGTAGGTGGGAGCTGAGTCTTCAGCACTATTGTCCTGATCTTTTCTACAGCTGGGACAACTTTGGTCTCCATCTTAGGTGGCTATAATGAGCTAAGATTGCCAGAAAAATGTAATTTATAACTAGAAATCTCATTAATTTCCAGAATTATTTGGTTGAGTGGTTTTAAATCTTTTTGTTTTAGCAACAGGACCTTTCTTCAAAGGAAATAGCAAGGAGCTCATTTATAAAACAGAGACATACAGAGTTGTTCTGGTAGAAATGGACATAGAGAGCCCACAAGTTCTTCTGCTACATCCTGTTCTCCAAGGTCCCTAAGGAATCTCTTTGGAAGTACTTAGGCTAAGGAGGATAGTCTGAGAGCATCATGACTTTGAATCCTGGCTCTCTAATTTTCTGGGTGTTGGGTAGGGGACTTAATCTTCCTGTGCCTCAGTTTCCTGTATTGTTGGGATTAAATTACATAAACCTCAAAAGAGATCAGAATAGTAAATTCTATCACTTGTTATTACTGCTGATATCAGTAGTCCTCATTTTAGTATATATGGAAAGAAACATGGACTTCATCAAGGCTACATAGAAAGTCAATAGCTGAATTGGGATTAGAAGGTATGGTCTCCTGACTCCAGATACAAGATTCCTCCTATTCATTCAGTGAGGACCTTCTTTATGTCAAGCACCATGCATGGCTTTAAAAGAGTACATTAGAGCTTTTGCTCTGGGCTTAAATCCCATCATCACCCCTTACTAACTTCATGACCTTGGCTTTCTCCAGCCAAGTTTCTTCATGTGCACAATTGAGGTAATAATAGCATCACTCTATGTCCATAGGATTGCTGTGAGGATCAAATGAGTCAGTCTGTGAAAAGTGCTTAGAATCCTGCCTGGCACTAAGCACTTAGAAAACATCACCCATTTATTATCATCATCTTTGTTACCAAAAACAGTTAATGAGAAAGACAAAATCTTTGCTGGAAAATGCAATAAAAAAAGAAAAAAGAAAGGGTGTGACTGTTCTTCCTGCACTTTTGAGCTTAGTATGTCAGAGAACAGAAAGGCCTTCTGACCATCCATTTGGGTTGGCTTCATATTAGAACACCTACAGTTTGAATTTGAGTTTGATCCTGTGACTTTCAAGTCAGTCCAGTGTCTACTGGTTTTCTTTTCATGGCAAAGAGCAGGTTATTTTTGTTCATTTCACAAATATTTGTCAAGCGTCTACTATGCTAGCTAGCTAATACATGAGGAATGGAGATACAGAAGCAGAGACCCTGTCCCCAAAAGCTTGTGGTGTGAGAAGGAAGGAGTGGTAAGTCTTCATGGAGCATCAACATAGGTGAAGTCCAGGAAAGAGAGGTTTAGACTTAGTGCCTTAGATAGTAGAGGTCACAACCAATTGAAGGAGTCAGAAGTGGCTTCAAAGAGAGTATGCAGTGTGTTAAAGGATGCATAACATTTCAACAAGTGGAGATGGTAGTATGATTATGTAGGATAGAGGTAGTATGAGCAAAGGCAAGGAGATCAGATGTTCAGGATGTGAAATGGTGGGAAAACCAGTTTGATTGACTCACAAATAGGACGCATTGTCTCCCCTTGACCCAAGCCTCCTTTCCCTCCTTCATCCCATTAGGTGACCAAATGCTGCTGATCCCACATCCCATAGTTTTCTAGTTCATGTTGTTCCCCCTGTTGTCTAGACCATCAGCTCTTATCCAATCTTCCTTATCAAAGATCTCTGAACTCCCTTGTTTGTTTGTTTTGAGAGAGGTTTTTGCTATAGGGCATGTACGTACACTCATGGAAGAGACAGTGAGAAATCACCCCCCAGGGGCAGATGGCCATGACACAATCCCTTCTCATCCATTCTTCTCTTAGGATTTTGGGCATGCACACACACACACACACACACACACACACACACACCACCTGCTGGTCCCATTAACTTCATTTTTTTTTTTTTTAAAGAGAGGTTTTTGCTATAGGGTGCGTGCGCTCACCAGACAGACAGAGAGAGACAGACACAGAAAGCGAGAAATCACCCCCCCTCCCCGGGGGGGATGGCCACACCACAATCCCTTTTCCTCCGTTCTCCTCTCCGGATCTTGGGCACACACGCACATGCGCCCGGCGTGAGTTTTAAGCCACCGGGTCCAGGATGCAAACTGCGGTCAACTACATGGAAGTCCAGCAACATAGCCATTTCACTAACTGCTGGTCCCAACTTCATGTTTTTTTAACCACCTCAAATTTTTTCTTCATATTAAAGCTAGAGTGATCTTTCTTTAAAAAGCAAAATAGATTTGTTGAAGTGTTAGCTTTACAATTCTTTCCTCAAAGACTCATTCTCTGAGTCTTTACCAAATCTAAATCAAGTAACCTGGTTATTCCCTTTCATAACACCTCAGTTTTCCTCCTATCCCTTATCAGAGTTGTAATCCATATATTTAGAGTGGAATTATTTTTGTGAGGGTAGGGCTCATGACTGTTTGTGTCTCGCTCTGTCAGGTAGCACACAGAACCTGGCACAAACTAGAACTGAAGGAAATATTTGTAGAATGAATAACTGATAGATTCCACAGATTCCAAACTGCTTGTCAGTTTCCAAGAGTGCTAAATCACTGGCTCCTTAAATCTCCCCTCAAAAATATGGGTTTTCTGTAAACCATCTGGAGAATACCCAGTGGCCAGCTGAACTGGCACTGCCTCCTCCTATTTGTGGCCACCCTAGAGGTATGTTGTAATCTCCCCTTTTATCTCAGCATTGCTGCTGGCCCAATTTGTAGGTACAAAACATGTGAGCAGGAGGATCAGAGTGAACTGCCCTAAAGAAAACTCACTCAGGGGGTCTGGGGGATACTTAGCTAGTCCGTGGGGGCTACAGCCACATAGGAAAACCTTGGCTGATTTAAAGTTGTCCTGACTTCCAGCCATGCCTCTCCATATAAGCCAGAATGTGAACTAGCCAAAAAATCAATTAGCAGGCTATTTGGGCATGTTTCCCTGGAAGACATGCCTTTCTAAACCCATCTTGGAGTCAGAATTGCTTGACTTTGCCCATCTGGATCATTGGGTGGGTCACATAAACAATTCCCCAGGAATCTCACATGCATCCTCCAGCACTTGGGAAAAGTCTTAGGATGGAAGCCACTGTTTAGTCTGAGCTAACTTTGCATTTGGAGAGCCTGTTTCCCAACTGAGGGCCAAATTCACCAGATAATTGCACTGTCTGGATTTTGCTGGACACCGTGAATGAGTTAGTTATGGTTGGCCTAGAGAATGCTTCTACCCCATTTCTCCACCCTCTTCCCCCCAATTCAAAAACTGCTTGCCTTGGCTCTTTCAGAGCCAGGAACCAAGAAGCCCTGGGGAGGCTGGTGGGGGCAACTGCATCATTTTGCATGCAGTTACCCAGAATGCCCTGCTGCTCTGAGGGATCTTCACAGCAGTGTCCAAGTCAGAACTGAGAGGATCAGGCCAGAATGGTTGGCATGTCAAGCTCTCTTCTGTTTATATTTGAGGCAAAGGGTCTTTTTCTCCACAGGCACAAGTCACCCCTCTGTGGACTAAGCAATGGGGTTGATGAATGGATTCATATTAAGTAGACTTGCAGTTTTGAGAGATTAGTGGATGAAGACTTGGTGGGATAGAGCCTCAGGCTCTAATAAGTAAATATTTTATAAGCCCTAAATGACCATGGTCAGTCTTTCCACAGTGTTAGTGGAGGTGCTAAGGCATAAGGAATGACAATGCCTTGCTCTAGCAGATGGAGAAAAAGTGAGAGAAAGTGTAAATTCTCTCCTTGAGCAATACCCAGCCAGTGAAGGAAGCTGCACATGCCACAAACTTACATATAAAGACCGGTGGCTTTGGTATGATATTGGAGTCGGAATGCATTTAGCTAGAGGTATGTGGGTCCAGAGAAGGCTGTTAGTTGATGACTTGCTCATTTTCTACCCTTTATGTATTTCTTCAACATAATATCTTCTGGGGTGCGTGCGCTCACCAGACAGACAGAGAGAGACAGACACAGAAAGCGAGAAATCACCCCCCCTCCCCGGGGGGGATGGCCACACCACAATCCCTTTTCCTCCGTTCTCCTCTCCGGATCTTGGGCACACACGCACATGCGCCCGGCGTGAGTTTTAAGCCACCGGGTCCAGGATGCAAACTGCGGTCAACTACATGGAAGTCCAGCAACATAGCCATTTCACTAACTGCTGGTCCCAACTTCATGTTTTTTTAACCACCTCAAATTTTTTCTTCATATTAAAGCTAGAGTGATCTTTCTTTAAAAAGCAAAATAGATTTGTTGAAGTGTTAGCTTTACAATTCTTTCCTCAAAGACTCATTCTCTGAGTCTTTACCAAATCTAAATCAAGTAACCTGGTTATTCCCTTTCATAACACCTCAGTTTTCCTCCTATCCCTTATCAGAGTTGTAAACCATATATTTAGAGTGGAATTATTTTTGTGAGGGTAGGGCTCATGACTGTTTGTGTCTCGCTCTGTCAGGTAGCACACAGAACCTGGCACAAACTAGAACTGAAGGAAATATTTGTAGAATGAATAACTGATAGATTCCACAGATTCCAAACTGCTTGTCAGTTTCCAAGAGTGCTAAATCACTGGCTCCTTAAATCTCCCCTCAAAAATATGGGTTTTCTGTAAACCATCTGGAGAATACCCAGTGGCCAGCTGAACTGGCACTGCCTCCTCCTATTTGTGGCCACCCTAGAGGTATGTTGTAATCTCCCCTTTTATCTCAGCATTGCTGCTGGCCCAATTTGTAGGTACAAAACATGTGAGCAGGAGGATCAGAGTGAACTGCCCTAAAGAAAACTCACTCAGGGGGTCTGGGGGATACTTAGCTAGTCCGTGGGGGCTACAGCCACATAGGAAAACCTTGGCTGATTTAAAGTTGTCCTGACTTCCAGCCATGCCTCTCCATATAAGCCAGAATGTGAACTAGCCAAAAAATCAATTAGCAGGCTATTTGGGCATGT